GACGTGGCTGGAATCGGGGTGAGTCAGGATATTGAGGTTTCTGAGTAGGACAGAGATGCAGAGGTGGGTGCACAGGCTCAGGTCTCCTGCTGTGCAGCCATCACCCAAGAAGGAGGGTGACAGGTGAGGCAGGGCAGACACCCTTGCCTGGGTTTCTCCAAGGACCAGCAGGCCTCTGGGGCTGTAATGCAGTAACCTACTGGTATCTGGGTAGTAGAAGCCTCATTGGCTGAAAAAGACACAGAACGTGAAGGGAAAATGGAGTTTAAGAAAATGTAAATATTTCCTCAGACTTACGCCTGTAATTCTAGCACTACAGGAGACAGAAGCGGGTGGATAACCTGAGCTCATAGGTTCAAGATCAGCCTGAGCAAGTGTGAGACACCCCCACTCCTTTCTAAAAAATAGCCAGGCAGGCCAGGCTCAGTGGCTCATGCCTGTAATCCCAGCACTTGGGAGGCCAAGGTGGCTGGATTGCCTGAGCTCACAGGTTCAAGACAGGCTCAGCCAGACCTCGTCTCTAAAGAAATAGCCAGGTGTTGTGGCCGAGACCTGTAGTCCCAGCTACTTGGGAGGCTGAGGCAAGAGAATCACATGAGCCTTGGCTCAGCACCCTGGGCCGCCCCGCGCCCCGCCTCCCTCCTGCTCGGCTGCCCGGGGCCGGGCGCTGGGAGGGCGCCGCCCGGACTCCGGTGTCTGCGGGCAGCGCCGCCGCTTCCCGCTCCGCACGGGCAGGACGTGGAACTCCGGAGGGACGAGCCGGGGACTGGCCCTTGCCGGACGCTCGCTGTCTGAAGCTGCGGTTGCTCAGGTTGACAAACGTCCTCCTGTCTCCATTTTCCCAAGGGAACGTTTCTGAGGATGCCTCCTGAGCCCTGGAGCGCGCCATCCAGGCTCCTCTGTTCTTCCTTTCCGTCTGTCACTCCGCTTTCCGCGTGTTCGTGGGCTCCCCGTGCGGGACGCCACTCTGGGTCCGCGACCTAAACGGGGAGGGACCGGCTACTACTCTGCTCTCAGGACATCACTGGGCAGTGGCTGCTGACCCCGACCACGGCAGGAGCACAGGGCCGCGCGGGATAGCGGGCCCCACAGCATGTCTGTGGTTACCAGCTGTCCAGGTCCTGCCCCTCCACATGATGCCCCAGAATAGACTTCCCAGAGAAGGTGGTCATTCAGTGCTGCTCCTGAGGATGAGTGGGGTAGTTTTGGGCAGAGGAGACAGCTTGACCAACAGCCCAAACACGTAAACGGGGATCACTGGGTGTAAAATGTTGGGAACATTTGGAGAAGGTGAGCTTCAGCACCTGAGTCTTCCTAAA